AGGAAAAGAGATGTTATTGTGTTACTTACCAATAAAAATAACACAAGGATACACTTACTACCACCACTACGTAAGATAAAACGGCTTATACTGTGGAGAAAGCACCAATAAACTGCCGAAAATGTCAAAATCCCATAAACACGTGTATTAACCAACACTCGCGAGAACGGATCCCATCTCTCCCATTTTCTCCTTAACAGGGCGACCAGAGCGATGTGCATCTTTGACATAAAAAAAATCCGGATTGAAAACACTTAAACCAAATTTGTGCTACTCTCACAGACACTCAACTAGCTCCATAAAGATCACAATTGTTTTTCGCGGCTTGGCTCGCATTTTTACCTTTTTTGTTGTAAAATTTTAAAATGTATCGAATTTATTCATTAGATTCACTCATCTTGACAGTAAGAAAAATAAATGATATTCCCACATTTTTCTTTATTTTAATTTGGAATTATCTTCTTTAAAATTTAAACTTTTTAATGATACCAAAACCAGCCAGATACAAATGGTATAGTCAAAGAGATTTTATTACAAGTTCATACATACTATAGTGCGAAAAGACTTTTCCCCCAACTTATATATAAAGTTTGTCACCTGGATTGTCACATAGGATACTTTTTATTTCTGAAAAATGTTAGTATCATGTGGGATTTTCAAAAAACTATCTTTAACGCGGCCGATGTTTCGTACGCAAGCTAGTCGACTTCTTGATATTTTCAAAGTGATCTCAGTGTCTCAATACAAAATTACCAAAAAAAGTAAGTATGTAGTACGAAAAATCAGGAAAGAGCTTAGATTAAAAAAAACTGACGACGTACAAGTGAAGTCTGTAATTTCTACCCGATTTCAGTGCTTTGACAAAATGTAATTTTTTGTTGAAATATCAGTTTAAGGCTAAAGGGAAAATATTTTGAACAGGATATATAATTTCATGTTTAATTTCTGCTATCTCCCCCTTTATCTTGAGCATTGTGCGACAGGAAAAACATACGGTTCTATCCTAATGCATGTATTACTGAAAACGATGTCTAGGCTGGGAGGTGAGTACAGTTGACCCTACATGGGCTACATTATGAGCACTGTAGGCCAACATATTTACACAGTGGTAAGCCACTGCCTTAACTTAAAAGATAAAAAAATCTTGCTCATCATTCCGCGATCTTTTTGATCTTCCATCTTATGCCCTGAGTCTGAATCTTAAACTGAATTTTATTAAAACTTTTTTATATAAAAAGTTGTAAATTCACATTGTTAAAATCAAAAGGTCTGAAATAAATCTCAAGTATTTATGAAATTTTCTTTAGATTTACATCCAACAATTAGTTGCTTAAAATAAAAATATAACAAGGTCAAAATTAGTTTACAATAAATTTGCGAAATTTTTGCATTTATAATAGTAGAGTGAAAAATTCATTAAATATGTAGATATGTACTCACTTTCATGGCCAGAAAGATGTGATCTGGTGCTTCATTTAGAAAAGTTTCCACATTTTGGGTTGTAAATACTTTCTACTTTTTTACCCGATGACCTTCCGATTTCCTCTTTAAAAAAGCCAACAATCTGTGTGTGTTGATTTGTATATTGTGTTTGATGCTGATTTTAGATCTGAGTATTGAATAAATACATCATAGGCTGCTTGGCTTCCGAATTGATCCTAAGTAATGGAAATAAACCAAAAGGACGGATACGGACACAGCCTTGACTCCTTTTGTTTCTCTCCATGTGTTGAAATCTTCATACACTTTCTCATACTTATTTTTATAATTTTTCTGGTAAGACGTTGTTAATAATCCCTAAAGCGTCTAATTTAATAAGCTCCGGAGTCACATTACTTTCGCTCGACGACATTTTGACACGTGAGAATGTTAAAACACGGAACTGTCAAAATAACGTAGTAGGTACTTCTTTTACTTTCTGAAAATAGCACCAAACACTGGCTTTTGTTTTGAATTTTTTCAATCGCGTTTTTCTTTTGTTATAGGTGACCACTTCGATTTTCGAATAAACTCTCTTTGCATTGCCATATTATTATTGAAATACTCTACGATAGAAACGTATCTATTAGGAGTTTTCATACGAATTTTAACGTTCCAAATTCACTTTAAATCAAATCACTTTAATCCCTTGGGAGTTTCATACAATATTATCTCCCTTGGGCATCAATGACTTGCTTTACGTTGAGATTGCATGATATATAATCGGAAATTGTCGAGCAGGTGGTATGAAAATAATATTAAACTACTTAATCCAGGGCATTAATCATCATAATTAAAAAAGTCCATTTTGCTGTTTCTTTCTATATTATCATGACTGTTACTTTCGCAATAAACTGGTTAAAGTAACTCAAATTTGGTAAAAAAAAATAATTAATATCCAAATATAAATTTATAAGTTATACAGATGATTCAACGTCTACAATTTTTAATTGTGTGAATAATATACTAATTTTGATATGATTAAGATTATTATATTAGATTCTTTTGGGGATGTGGCCTAACCTGCTAACAAACAATCATCGTGCGCCTGCGCACCGAGACACAAAGAATGACATTTTGCTAGTGTAAGATACAAGGTTCGCGTGTTTTCTTTTGCACGTCACGCATATAAGTATATAAAACCTGGCCTGTTTTTATCGCAGTGTTTACAAGGTGATGCTCTATCTACAGAGTAAATAATCAAAGGTTTATACTGAGTTCCCTCTATTTGGCAGAATCTTGTTACTCTGTATCCGCAATGGATTTTACAGGAACAATGTCAGTTTATGAATCTTTGCTTTAAGTTTGGTCGAAGTGTAGAGTTGGAACAGGTTCCTGTAATGAGTTTTGATACATTGGAACTTAATTTTTTTTTTATAGTAATATTATTTGCAAATTACACCAGTGCGCCAAGTAGGCATAATTATATATTTTTTTTAATGAATTAATAAGTAATAGTTGCCTTATGTTTTATATTGATAAGAACATAGGTACTCAGAACTATTTGAAGAACCACCCACATAATACTTTTGTTTAAGCAGGATTGGATATTTTATCTGATGGTTGTCACAAAAGGTACGCCTTACTTATTTTGTTAGAAGTGAAGACGGCCTGATCGGCAGTTATACCGCATCATCCCCTGAGAAGGGGATGATACGGATGAACGTTTCAGATGAAGCTTTTAGTCAGTAAGAGTCTGACATAACCTTGCAGCTGGCTGTATACTCATCCATGAGGATTTCACACCCACTCCCCCGCCTGGGAGGAAACAAAAAAATCGGCGGGTATATATATGTATCATTCTTATTTAAAATAATAATAATACCGAATTGATTTTGAGTTTGAGACGCAGTTTGACTTTGATTTAGGTATTTTAGTTGAGATACATAAATTGAGATTAATTGTTTTTTCTAATTTCCGATAACGAAAATCAAGATTCCTGCTCAAATATATTGTGGTAACTACAGGTAATTACGGAACCCTGCATTGCGCCTGGTCACGACACGCACTTGGACGGGTTTTACTAACTAATCTAGTGGTATATTTATTTCTCATGCTCCTTTTGATGCTTTGTCAATCCCTTAATATGTATGAACGTATTTACTAAGAAATTTTGGGAATTGTTTGAAATTCGTTACATCAAAAACTCTTATTGTTGTTGGAAGTGTTTAGATGAACTAAACGCCTGACATTGAAATAACCGCAACGACGTCTAACGTCCGACAAAGTCTAAACTTATTCTTTATGATATTCATCAGTAGATTCAACCAAATTATTATTATTGTTGCTACTAGTGTCCTGTAAAGGAAATATTTCTTTATTAATGAAGTTTGATTCTTTCATATTTTCCATATTTTCATATCATAATACATATATTTCTAATGACTTTTCCATCTCTGCTGAAATTTCCTTATTCGAATTTTGTATCCAAAGTATAGCCTTTTGATAGTTCTTAATAATCTTTTAAATATTCATTTATCGCTTTTGCTTGAAAACTTTCTTTAATAATTTTTCTTTAGTAGAAAAGCACCAGAACCAAATATGTACACAGAAATTATTATTTGATGGTTTTCTTTGAGGTCAATCCATTCCTCAAATGGGGTCAATCAACTTTGAATTAATTTGGTGGGTATTCTCTTAAGTATAGTAAGGATATTAAGTACATTAATGACGTTCATAGATCTATATACAGGGCGTCCCACGGCAACCTCACACGGAGGGAAAGTATAGTAAATATTGAAGATAGGATATTTGCCTGAAAGAAGACATCATTTTATTTTTAATAATAATTAGAACTGAATTCACCGATTTTTTTAAAATCGCCTGCTACAACTGGGAATCAACCTCGTGAAATTTCAAAAAATGATATCATATTTTATGATAACTATCGAAAGGTTTAATCATAAGAATTAATTTCTGCTAAATATCGTAGCATTTAAATGAAAGAAAAGTCATTGAAATTTAACATTTTATTTAAAATTATTTAACACAAACTAATATAAAAACGAAACGATGCAAGAAAAAAAAATATTTAATTTATGAAATGTTCAAAATGTGATCTATTTTATTGTATGCAAATTCTCACTGTTTTAATAATTTCTCTGTCTGTCGATTTCATTATCTTTGCGTGGTGAATGTTTGTTACAATACGTCTGAGTTCATTTTGTAACTCCTGAACACTGTCGTACCGGTTCTTGTATACTACATCTTTTACATAACCCCACAAAAAAAGTCCAATGGGGTTAGATCTGGGGATCTCGCTGGCCATCTAATTTGTCCATAAGTACCGATTCATGAAGGAAAATGTTCATTAAGAAACTCGGCAGTTCTCCTACTGTTACGAGCCCGCGCCCCATGTTGCTGGAAAATGAGATTTCGTCGATTTGCATCCGGAAGATTATTGATTTCACCTCTTAAAATATTAAGTATTTCTAGATATCTTTCCGTGTTCAGATTTCCTTCGTAAAAATGTATTAAGAGTACTCGGTTTTTAACAATCCCACACTAATAGTTAAAAGAAAAAAGCACTTGATCATTAGTCTCGCGGATTCGTAAGGGATTCTGTCTGGATCAAATACGATTATTACGCCGGTTGTACATACCATTGTTACTGAAGTTTGACACGTCTGACCAAATAATGGTCTCCACAACATTTTGATCCTCAAGGATGAGCCTCTCAATATGGTGGCAAAAATTAAGACGTCTTTCAGCATCTCCCGGGCGTAATTTTTGCACTAATCGTCCTTCAACATAACTCTTAAACTTGTATTTTTTCAATGCACGGTGTATTCTACTCTTGGAAATTCCAATTTCTTCTTCACCTTCCCTCACTGAACTCTTCGGATACGCCTCAAAGTAAGTTAAAATGTTAAGTTCATCGTCGTTGACGTTTATCACCCGCTGTTCTGGATTCTGTAAGCGCATATCAAAACGAACTAAATTGCTTAAAGTATCCACCATCCTTTTAAACACATATCGAGAAGGTATGTCTCTATCAGGATATCTTTCGCGGTACCAACGCAAAGCTAATGATATGTCTTTGTGGTTCATAAAGTAAGCTTCCATTAAATCCATTTTATTTTGGTACGCCATGGTAAATAAATTAACAAAAAATTGCAAATAAACGAAAATGAAACAAAAAGAAAAGGAACAGACGCTTGAAAATTTACGTGTTCCATTTTCGAATTATTATTTTTACAAATTTCTGCCAGTCTCATTGTAACTCTGAGATCCAAAAGAAATGCATACGTAATACAGTTGTATATCACTTTATTATTTTTATCACGTAGATAAGACATTCCTTTCATTTAAATTGCTATGTTATTGAGCCAAAAATAATCCTCGTGATTAACCCTTTCGATGGTTATCATAAAATATGTTGTGTTTTTTTTTTCAAAATTTCACGAGTTTGATTCCCAGTTGTAACAGGCGATTAAAAAAAAAACTGTGAATGCAGTTCTAGTTATTATTAAAAATAAAATGATGTCTTCTTTCAGTAAAATATCCTATGTTCAATATTTAATATACTTTCCCTCCGTGTGAGGTCGCCGTGGGACGCCCTGTATAGTTTGCAGTAAGCGCCTAGCACTTTATTTACCGCTACTTCCAGGTACCTAATAAGAAACTTCAATATAAAGCTTGTATTAAAAATATGAAAAAGCAAATCGGTCATCTTTCAAAAAAGTTCTCTTTTACATTAATCAATAAAAATGTTCTTGTTAGAATTCATATTTCAAAAAATAAAATAATAATGCTGATGGACAAGATGGTAGGTGTAATGTACAATAATAAAACACACACTTTCAAGTATTTCACGTAATTCCAATATTCCAGTGTTGTTACTTAATAAATTCTGGAAAATACCCAGTCTTTTACAGAAAAATGAGAAACTGCCCTAGTCATACGTATTCCGAAAAAAGTGCAGGTTTTGGTCTTGTGTTTTATCCAGACACGCAGTAGCGTGTCAAGCCAAGTACAAGCTTACAGAATTGACGGTCTCGCTTCTTTTGTCGTTGAAGTTAACAACCAAGACATATATCATATTATTGAACTTGTGTCCCATTTTATATTTATGTTATTGATGGGATACAATAAGCATATTACAGTTACAGGAGTTCAGACCTGGACGTGGTATTGTGACCAACCTTATTAAAATATTAGGTAAGTGAAATTGAAATATAAATGCTACAAATAATGGGTGTGCATTCATTCTCATGCTATTTGATTTTTACCGCGCTTTTGATTGCATCAATAGATGGTTATTATCAAAACTTCAGTTCTGTAACCTTGATGATACTGCCCAGCTGATGCAAAATTATCTTGATAATCGGAAACAAATAGTTGAGTGTAGAAATGCTGATGGTATAGCGAAATGCTTGGGAGGCTAGTGCTGACGCGAGGCTGTTCACAGGGTGCATGTATATCTCTCCATTGCTGTACTCCGCTTACACGGCGGACCTGCCCGCGCTGTATGCCGCACGCACACGCTGAAATGTCGATGATACGCAGCTTCTATGTTCTTTCAACCTGGACCAGCTGGGAGAAGCGCTAAGTGCTTAAGGATGACCTTAAGTAATAGTAAATGGGAATAGAGAAGAGACAATATGCACTCTACCTCAACTCCGACAAAACCATGGTTCTGTTATTTGGATAGAAGAATATATTGGGGAGCTTCTAATAATGTTATGACGCTTGCAAGGACAGCAAGGGGTTGGGTAAAAATCGGAAGGTCTAGTGAGATATCATAAGTATTTTTAAACCGATTCAGCCACTATGTTTTTATGTATGTACACTAATTACGCCGAGATTTCTGATCCGATTTACGTGATTCAGGCACTATAATCAAGTGTTCCTAATAAAATAAATTAATTGAAAAATTTACTAGTTTCTGATTCAACGCTTTTTATTCATCCTAGAACCTATTTGGATGTCAAATTTGAACTTTATGGGTCATGTGGAATGGGTTAGAGTTTTTATCTACAGGTCAGTCAGTTATAAAATAATGATTTTTGGGCGTTAATATCTGGAGAATTGTTTAAGGTATGTTTATAAAATATAATGCACATAATTATGTATCTCGCAAGTCTCAATTTATGAGCTTAATTTAACGTGTTAATGTGAAATAGTTTTTGAGTTATGAGGGGGGCAAAAGTGGCTCCAAATAGTTCATGGAATATTACACACGGTTCTGCTCGCCATGAATGATGCTCGAAAATTCATCATGCCATTGCACAGTAGCGCCTTGCATGACTTGATTGGACACTACTTTTTGACAGTATAGAGTGCGATCACGAAGTAACCTACAAACTACCGGACAGAGTTATCTATACTAATATTATTAAGAGGAAAGATTTAATTGTTTGTATTGAATAGGCTCCGCAACTACTGGACCAATTTGAAAAATTCTTACACATTTAGAATCCTACAATATCCTTGATGAATATAGGCTATAGCCTATATACTCTATAGAGTATTTTCAAAAAGTTAGGGTTCCGTATGAAAAATTCTATAATGTAACCCAGGGTGTTAAACAAAATCCAAAAAACTTTATATCACTTACGCTGCGCAAGTTATTAACAATGGAGCAAAGTGATGTATTAAAGTTTTATAGAAAACATAAATATCTACAAAAAAGTTTGCCATATCATATGTCTAACTATTACAGTTATGTCACAACTAAAGGTCCCTTGAGGTTTCACCTGTGTTAATTTGAGGGAAAAGGTTATAGTGAGTTAAACTTAAAAGGTGGGCATATGCTGTCGCGGACATTTTCAACTTTTAAACGGGAACAATTCCGTTATACATGATTTTTGTGTTACTTTAATCATTTACGTAGCGCACGCAACGGAATCTCCCAAATGGAATATTTTTAGCCGTTTTTGGAACATTTTACATCGATACTCCGCTCCTACTGGTCTCAGCATAATATTAAATAGCCTTTCTCAATAAATGCACTATCTATCGCAAAAAGATTTTTTCAAATCGGACCAATAGTTCCATAGGTTTGCGCGTTCAACCAAAAATATGGTGCATTCGTTACAACAGGTACTAAACTATGCAACAAAATTCACTATCAGTTAAAAACATTTCATGGAAGGTATAAACCTAATAATATAAAGAAATTCATTGTGTATAATACAAGCCTGAGAACAAAAAACTATAGGTCTACACTACAGCTCTACACCGAAGCGAAGCGAGGGCGGGCCACTAGTTTGTAAGATAAATATGAAGTTACTTAAATTTTCTTTTATTTCTATTTGTGATTATCTTTATATATATAATTCTTCTGTGAGTGTGTATGTCACTGAACTTCTCTTAAACGACTGGACCGATTTTGATGAAATTTTTTGTGTGTGTTCAAGGGGATCTGAGAATGGTTTAGATTCACAATTTTGTCCGCTGGACAACCCCTATTTTTTTAGGGCGGTACGAAGTTCGCTGGGTCAGCTAGTCTTTATATATATAATTCTTCTGTGAGTGTGTATGTCACTGAACTTCTCTTAAACGACTGGACCGATTTTGATGAAATTTTTTGTGTGTGTTCAAGGGGATCTGAGAATGGTTTAGATTCACAATTTTGTCCGCTGGACAACCCCTATTTTTTTAGGGCGGTACGAAGTTCGCTGGGTCAGCTAGTGTTACTACACACATCAAAAGTGTCTAGGGATCAACATATATTTTTGCAATAACTTTTCTCCTGATTGATATTAATTAAAATTTTCTTTAAGGATTCATCAAATAAAGTGTTTTCGTTTGTCACAGTAACGATAAACCAAGTCACCTTTGCATTAATAAAGAAATTTGCCATTTTCCTAATAAAGGGATTTTTGACATTTGAACCACTAACACAAAAGTTCGAAAAAAAGACTGAAATAACAGTTTTCTCTAAAATTTTATTGGGTAACTTAAACAATTAATAATCCGTATTTCTACCGCGAACACTAACAACACAAGAACATCGGTTTGGCATACTCAAAATGAGTTCATCCAAATCACGCTGTGGAATGGCCGCCCATGTTCGTTGCAACAACAAAAAAAGGTCTTCTTGCGACTGGATACCCTCCATATTCGGCAGAGCTCTTCTCTGTAGCATATCCCATGCATGCTCAATCGGGTTCAAGTCTGGCGACTGAGCAGGCCAGGGCAGGACATTGATGTTAGCTGCGGTGAGAGTCTGTCTTACAACTCTTGCGGTGTGCGGTCGTGCATTATCATGCATTAACTGAAATAAGGGACCGATTTGCACTTGTAGAGGAACGATGACGTCTGATACAATCGTCTCAGCATAAATTTGAGCGTTGAGGTTGCCTCTGATCCAAATCAACTCAGTTCTTCCGCCGATCCAAATACCCGCCCATACCATGATGGTTCCACCACTATAAGGATGGACTTCCTGGCAGGATTTTAATCGCTGTTGGCGTCCAGGGGTTCTCCAGTGTCGTATACGTCTTGTATCCGGTCTCATACCAAAACGAGACTCATCAGAAAAGCACACGAAACGCCATTGTTCTTCTGCCCAATTTCTGTGTTCAAGAGCCCATTGATATCGAATCCTACGATTGTGCATTGCTATAGGTGGTATCCGTAGCGGTCTTCGGGAATGAAGGTTCACTTCATGCAAGCGGTTTCTGACTGTTTGGTCGCTAATTAAGTTCCCTGAAGAGTGATGAAGCCTCACGGCTAACATCATGGCGGTTATTGTTGGAGCTCTTCGAGTTAAGATTTGAATGTATCGGTCTTGTCTCCGTGTGGTGCAGCGATACCGTCCTCCATGGCGCTCAGCCACGGTACCAGTGCTTCGGTATCGTGTCCAAAGTCGACTGATAACACTCTGACTTGTATTCAGAGCTAAAGCCACAGTACGTTGCCGGGAACCAGCTTCTATCATTCCCACGGCTCTGAGCATTTCTTCCCTGCTTAAATGACGTCGCCGCTCCATAATAACGTTGGTTTTAATCAGTAGTAGGGAAACAGTAGCACTAATAATGTCTTCAATGCGTTGTATGTTTTTATAGGGAAAATATTGATAGCTGATTTTCATCTTTTACTCGAATTTGATTCACAGTTCCTGATTCAAATTATGAAATGCACCA